GAAATTATTTGAACGGAGGTACGAAATTTTTTTTGGTTTTTCGATCATTCGCAACTTTTCATACTTCGCCTTCGAAGTCAATGTGGATCAGTCTTGGTGCAAAAACAGTAAAGCCAATCTGTAGAGCATGCTTTGCTCTATCGATGATACCCCGTACACGTATTTGGGATTTGGCCTGTTACGATGCCATGACGAGGAAATTAAAAGTGACATCCTTTTCTTTCCAACCTAATAGTACGTGTAATCATGCATGCTGCATACCGTTTATATGCCATACGAAGGATATCAGCCCTCAATTTCTGGGTCATGCATGTACTGCGTTTCTCTGTACTTGTGGAATATTGTACTATGACATTATTATTAATCCTTTATCAGCACGATGCTTGATACTGATTACGACAGACAAGATATTAGCATTTTTCAGCTTATGACAATGAAATCTGTACATATGATTAGCAGCAATATGAAAAAATGGTGGCATCTTGGCAAGTGTAATTCGCTGGACAGAAGCGATCTTTACATGATTTACCAAACCGTGTTTCTTGCCAACCATCTCGCATCTCAGAGTATGGTGGCCGTCCATTAGGGCATGTTGGGTGATAAGCCTTATCCCATCGATCTGAAAAAGTCTTCATCGGAAAATCTGCCAAGTATCACTTAGATTACCCTCGTTTGCCTTGCTGCAGCAAAAGCCGAAGAAAGCTCCCATAACGCATTTATGGTCCTTTGGGCAACCATCATCGTTCAATTTTGGACTGTTTTTGGGTGGAGCCAAAGTAGAAGGGCGGGCAGGAGCATCTAAATTGTCCTAATGCTCTCTGTCTTTTGAACCTGTTTTGTTGTTGTTGTTTTTTAGTTACCTGGCTGGAACGATACATTCGTCGTAAAAAGATTTCCACATATTAAGGCTTGACCATTTGTTCCTCGCGCTGCCGGATACATTCCACCGCACCCCGAGAGGTCTTCTAGAGCAACCACATTAGATTTTACCTGTTGAATGCTTCAATTTGTACCCCAAAAACGCTGTGATCGAATTAGCCCACGTCAAAAAAATGAAACTTACGAAGTTTACAGTCAAAGGAGCAATCCGAGGAGGTTCTGTAGTTATTCTCATTGCCGCCGCAACCGAGGTATTCAAATGCCAAACAAGCGAATGTCTGATAGTCGAAGTAGTACTAAAAACACTAGAAATTACAGCACCAACTTGTGCAAGGAGCGTGAACAGTCATAAGCGCGTACGAACTCTAATAGAGGGTTTTGCGTCAGGGCACGTTCTTCCTCTGTGGCGGTCTAATTTACAGCTTTCCTTCCCTACTGGATATCGTTCTTGTGGTCGGGAGACCTCGGGTGTAGACAAAGCTGGATCGAGAGAAAAATCTGAGAAAATTGCTATCAGAAGCCCTCAAAGAATCTGTAGATATAAAACCCACCCATACTGTCGCATTTTATTCGTTGATTTTTCTCCTTTCGTTTCCTCGTATTTGGTAATTCCCTACCAGTGACAGGGTCAACACAATAGCAGTACTCTTGCCTTGCATCACACTGCAGTGGCTCATAGTTTCCTGAAAAGTTTTTATGGACAAGATTATCAACTGTTTTTTGCAGATTCTACAAACTAGAAGTAAATGTGGGCAATCGCTGAAGTGCAGTTGCAGCTATTCAGATGGATGAACGCGTGGATAACTTTTTGTTATCACTTCATCTACATTTCTAGGAGTAAAGCTTATAAGACATCCTTCCAAAAAGCAAAAAGAGGAAAAAATCGAGCAAAAATCGAGCAGTAATAGTCATTGATATGCGCACAACAGTAAGAAAGTATGGAGATCAATATAGATGGCTTTGTAATTCGAAGTGAAGCGTTGAAACGCCTTTATGGTTGATAACGATTATAGAGCCTACTCTAGCTATGTATATTTGAACTCTCGTATACAGACTTTGCTAAGAATGGATTTGGAGACAACTTACCTAATGACACATCACACTTGGGTATGAATGTGTTTTTCGGTGGATCACCTGCGGCAAATATGCGTTTCAGGGCGTAATGGCAGCCTAAAACAGTTAAAAAGACACTTACATATAGAGAACAATGTCTTTTTGTGCGTTTGTAGTAATGTGTGCAAGCAGATCAATTCATTGACTTTTTAGCGAAGTTTGAAAAAAGGCTGGGACGTGATATGGGCAGAAAAGGAGGATCAAGTAGCATGCGAAGTAACACCCACTTGAAAATTTTGCATTACCATGAATTGTGTCAATTTCGCAACTTTTAAACTGGGGCCCTAGGAGGAGGCATGGAAAGGAAAAGAAGGCTGACTGAGCATTCCAGTTACTAAAACGATTAGAGGGCAGGAAAGCGACATAGTGAGGTGAGACGAAATGTTAAATTCTTCAAGGCATACTGACTGACTGGGACCGAGCGGAGACGTATGCCAGCTAATTATCACACGAGTTAGCTTCTCTTCATGAGTGCGCTTTCGTTAAGGAAAATCGAGGAAGAATCACTTGAGCATCTTGGTGCGATCCTATTGCTATCCGTGCGAGTGTCGTAGGCGACCAAGCCGTTGTGAGCGGCTACACAAAAGCAGCCGTTTGCGTCACATTGGACAGTCTCGTAATAACCTGATATAGAAGTTCGTCCCCAAAAACACAATGCTAGGGGAACATGGCAACAAAACGGGCTACAGCTCAAGAAAGGGTTATACCTGCTTCAGTGCAATTCATACCGTCATCATTCAAAACACACGGGCCAGTTCGTGGAAGACTGAAACAAGGTGGAGTAAAAATACAGGCTATCGGATGAATCATGGAGAACTCACACTGGTATTCGAGTTTGCGTGACATTGAAAGACCTCTGAGCAGCACTCATGGCAATTGGCTCAGTTGTTGAGCTGAATCACTTTGAGATTGAAAAAAACAACCAAGGTTGCACAACAATCAAAACCGCTTCTTTAACATCTGTCTTCAATTATTGCGCTCTTCTCTTGTTGCAAAAGACAGAATAAAATATATGAGGTGATGAAACCTTACAAAAGTTTAGGCTAAAGACTGAAATAGAATTTGAGCCCGGATTCACTGCTGTAAACAATGCATTTATCCAACTCACTTGGCTTTATAAGAACTTGCTTAAAGCTTGTCCTTGTGCGTACATTATGTCAGTGTGTGGATAATAAGGAAAGCGTGTAATTTTTGGATGCAGGAGAAAAGACTACAGGACACCATCATGTACAAAAGATGAAGCTCGTATAACCAGATTTGCAATGCCATCAGATTTGTCAGGTAAGACAAAAAGAAAGATTAAGAAGATCAAAGTGAAGTTGAGGAAACTTGAGATGAATAAGTAACAGAGTTGAATAATAGTTCTGGACTGTACTGTTAAGAAAATAATGCCGTTTTATATTTGTTTGCTTTAGCAAAGCAGCCAAGCTCAACCCAGAAAGGACAAATATTGTTCGATATAGCAAAGCAGGCTCTACAAGATGGCAGCCATAAATTCGCAACTACTTTGATATACGGAAAGTTTGAACCCAAAATTCAAAGTTCTGAATGGCTAAGGCTGCGTTCATAATGATCCCAAATTCCGGGAACAGTTCCAGAACAGCAATTCA